TATTTCGATATAAATTCAAAACAATATAATTTTATTTAAATATAAATACATTTCAATAAATTTTAATAATAATTTAATATTACATTCAAAATAATAATTACATTTGATTTTCAGTTTGTATTTAAGATTACAATCAATTTATTTTCACTAATTATATAACCGATGGCTGAAAACACTTCAGGAAATTATATCCAGAATCGATTAATAGCTCCCATAAAATACCAGCGCTTTTGTGGACAAGAAATATATAGAGAATGTATGAATCGTTTCAATAAAACTCAAAAAAGAAATTAAAACAAATTTATTGCTAACAAAATGTGTGTAAAAAACAAAATTAAAAGTGTTATCTATAATTGAATAATAGCTGCACTCAAAACACAAATTGAATTTAAAACTTTAACAAAAGGATTAATTAAATACAAATGCATTAAAGAAAAAATTGTGATAAATTAATATTCAAATTAGATTTTGTTCTCTAAATAACCTAAAAATAGATATTTTTATTACATTTTTAAAAAATGTGATTCAGATTATGATTTTTGAATAATAATTGTATTCAAAGTGAGAATCAAATGACTGATGAAATTCAGAATTATTATTATTATAATTATTAGGATTTATCGATATTCAGTAATATTATGGCTATTTTTGGGATTCAATGGCCAAAAATAGTTACAATAAAAGTGTTGTCTTCACTGGACATACATTGTGTTGAGATCTCATGAATCAAACAATTATTAAATTATTTAATCTTCTATTAAAACATTTAAATAGTGGTAAACAAGTAGTTGTAATGATTTGAAAGGTTGGATGGAATGTGAAAAATAATGATAATTAATAGTAATAGCGATTCAGTAAAACGTTGTATAATAGTTGCGGGCAATCGCGATGTCATTAGTTTCAATCATGAATTGATTTATCATTTTCATTAAAAAATCGATGGGAATCTAAAAATATATTAGTTTTGGTAAAATGTGCTCAAAAGTGGTACACAAATCACAAACTAATCGTACGATTCATTCAAAAAATGTCTGATCTCTTAATCAAATAAGTGGATGAAAAAGAGCACAAATATAAGCTGTCACTCGAATAGTGTGTGTCTTAAGGCAAATGGCAGTCGAGAGAGAAATAAATAGAAAATATCGTTTAAAAGTATTAGTTATACAAAAGTTGCGATTCCAGTCATGGGAGTCGTCGCCTCTTCGCGTCTCTTCTTAGGTCCGTATTCACCGATGAAAGAGCCGTCTTCGCCGAACTTGGATGAGTCGCCCTCTCCGTAGTCGGCCATTGAGTCCGTATCACTCTCTGCCTGATGTAGACTGTTGTTCAGCGACTGACGACTCCCCCGATGGTGTGGCCCACCGGCGCCTCCCAGAGGTTTATTGTATTCATTAAAACCCGCCTCTTCGTAGTCTTCGCGGCCCTGAGCCGCCTCTTTCTCGTGCACCGAATACTTTCCGCCCCTATTTCTCTTCACTATACACACCAATACAACCAACACTATAATCAGGGCAATGGCGCACATCATCCCAATGAACCATGGTGCAAAATTGGCCAAATGAGCTGTGCTATCGGCACCGGGACCTAAACCATACAATATTCATATTAAACATCAAAATTATGCAAAAATTAATTCTTATTAGTGTTTGTTATGTGAATGTAAGCGAAATTTTGCTCAAATAATGGGTTAAAATTCGTTATTTATATATTTATAATGCATTCAATTATCAGAGAAAATGTTAAGAAATTCTTAAGGATTAAGACATTTCTTAAGGAATAACTATCGATAGCAACCAAAGCCTCAATGAACCGCACAATCTATTAATGTTTTATATAAAACGCACGAGAAATGATACCACTGGACGAGATCTCCTGTGTCTCACTGGGCGTCTCAAACTGGCCGTCGACGGCCACCACTCGGATCTCGTATGTCTTGTCCTCTTCTAAGCCTCTGATGGGAACAACCAATGAGTCCTGATTCTCATCTTTAGCGGTATTCATATATCTCTCCGTTCCTTTTAAATCACATCATTATTAGATAAGAAACCATTCAATCAATAAAACCAATTAAAACCTACCTTTAAGTCTGTACTGAACATAGAAATAACTGCCGGGCTTTTTGCCATTTCCTGTCGTGGGATTCCACTGCACTCTGAGCTCATCCTTGCCGTCAATTGTCTTTCTGTGATACCATTCAAACGACGGTTTATCCGGATATTCAGCCGAGTCTTCGGATTTAGTGCTCAGTTCGATATAATAGGATTCTCCCAATCCCTTAGAAGTGGTCGCGTGAATGGTTACCCTGTATTTGGTTTGAGGCATAAGTCCCGCGAGTCTGGTATTGGTTAGCATCGGGTCTTCGATTTTCGGGTGCCGTTCGAGTCTACTGTCTAATTGAGTTCCGATCACTTTCTCATAGAATATACGATAACCGTTGAGCACACCATTGGGCTCTTCAGGTCGTCCCCAAAACAGATACAATGCGTTCGATCCGAGAGCTATGCCGTCGAACGAAGACACGGGACCAGGAGTTCCCTCCGGAGTCGTGATTATGATTTCATTGGAATAATCACTGCTATAGGCGTCGTTGAAGACCACAATTCGGGCGTAATTTTTAGCAAAAGGCTTAAGAATATTAATAATCGCTTGAGTGACGTTCGGTGGGATCGACACTTCGCGCATATGCTTCTGATCCTCTTCGGCGACCCACGTCTGGATCTTATAGCCGCGGAAGTGTCCCCTAACACTGTCGGGCTGTACCGGATTCCACGACAACATCGCCGCCTTCGCGTCTCTGATCTCTTCTAAACGGAAGTTCTGCGGTATTTGCAGCGGTTTGTCTTCACCCGAATAGCCGATCACTTCTGTGGCCTGAATGTGCGCCTGGCCTTTGCGGTTGTGCGCCTCCACTCGTATGCGGTAGGGCTTGAAAGTGGGCTGATTGTAGATCACATGAGTGGCATCTTTCCAGTTGTCAATCACTTTCGTATCCCACGGAAGGCCCGGAATGTCGTTTCGCTTCCAAAACACTTTGTAAAAGAAATGCTGTCCATTGTGTTCGATGGGAGGCATTGGTGTCCATCTGATGACCAGATTGTCGGGTGACGTTCCTCTGCCGACAACGTTCTCGGGGTTCCGATGCGGCACTTCTTCTTGCGTTGAGCACATACTCGACGCACCGCTCGCTTCGCTCGAACCGATTTTGTTGCGGGCGATCACTCGGAATGTGTAGTTAGCCCACGGGCTCATCGCTACTTTGAATTTAGTGTCGGGCGCCGGGATGTTGACGAACGCGTCCTCCCAGTTGTCCGGCGAGAAACTCGTGTTGAATTGAATGCTGTAACTAAGTATGGGTGCCCTGCGATCACCGGTGGGCTGCCATTCAACGAGCGCTGTGTTCACATCGCATTCAACGCCAATAATTTCGGGCGAATTGGGAACGTCTTGAACGGTAAGAGTGGCCTCTCGTGTGTCGGAATCCAAATCAGTTTTGGCGACACACGTATAGATACCGGAATCCAGTTCTTTGGTGGTCGTGATTGTGAGCGAATTGTCGGCCGCCTGTACTATACGCGGGTCGTGGTCTAAGTCTATCTTTTTCCCGTTGAACGCCCACTCAATCACGAGGGAAAGGGTTGAGTCGGCCTCAGCGTTGCACCGGAAGACAGCCATTTTACGTGCGGCCACTTCAAAGTTTTCGGGCGCGTGTGATATCTTTGTCTTTCCCTTCACTTGCAACTCTCCGCTCGCGTCTTCATCGCCAAAACGATTGGTTGCTTTGCATTTATAATTACCGGTGTCTGTCATCAACACTCCCGTAATTCTTAAGTCTCCGCTATCGAGCACTTCATACCGACCACCGGTCAGTTCCTGTCCATCCTTTTCCCATTTGACGATCGGTTTGGGCGCTCCAAACACTCGACACCTTAATGTTGTCGTTTGAGTGACAACAGCCCGAGAGACCGGTTCGGGTCGTTCTGTGATAGTGGGCGGGAGTTTCAGTACATTGAGATAGAAGTCCCTGAAGGCGTATCCGTGAACATTGGATGCGTTGCATTGAAAGACCGATGTGTCCACAGTCTCTCTCAGATCATTCACAGTGAGAACAGTTCCCTCCACTTTGCGGCGATTATTAGTCGGCGCCTTTTCAATGGGCACTCCGTTCACAAACCATTGCAACTTTGGTTCGGGAATTCCCGACGCAATGCATTTGAAGGAAACTGTTTCGCCTTCGGCTGCGTTCGTGTCGTTCGGGTATTCAATCCAAAACGGGGCCGCATTTACCTTCACTTCCATGGCGTGAGTTTTTTGGCTACCGATGCCGTTACTGGCGGTGCACTCATACACACCTATGAGAAACACAATTATAACAATTTAATGGTAAAATACGAACCGATATAAACAAAGCAAACCTTCATCATTGAAGTCGACTTTATTGATAACTAAAGTCTTGCCGTAGTTGTTGTATGTGAATCGGGACCCGTCGAGTCTACTGCCCCTTTTGCTCCAAGTAATGTCCGGGAGTGGAGTTCCCCCGTAAATACAATGCAATTCTAACCGTTGGTCCTTAAGCGCAGGCACTGATGGCGGAGATGTGTATTGCATTAAAGGCGGATGACTGGCCTGTCCTGAAGTACCCGATGCTTCCACTTTAAGATTCGTTTTGCCGCCGACTTTGTATTCAGTCCTGAAGACCGAAGTGGCAGAACAGGCGTACTTCGCGTCGTCGAACATGTCCTGTCGGGTCACGTTTGAGAAGTGGAGTCTGCCCTCCGGGTCGACCGTCAGACGCGAACTGTTAATACTTCGGAGAGCGCCTGTATTGGAGAGTATGATCCAGAAGATGGATGGCTTGGGATAACCGGTGGGAGGGTTGCAGTCGATAGTGCGCGGCTCTCCTTCGCTCACATAGACGTCCTGCACCTCTTCGTCGGCGAATGAGTTGAGTTCTGATTTGCGGAGGAAAACGGCGTTTGAGACACTAGTGCCGTGTTTGTTCTCTGCGAAACACTGGTACAGCCCTTCGTCCACACTATCGGGTTTAGTGAAGACAAGAGTGCCTCTACGCGGCTGTTGATTGATTCGCTTGTCATACGCGACATAATTAAATTCTAAACCGTTTTTAATCCACCGATAAGTAGGCTCTGGATCTCCTTTGGCCTCGCATTCGAGCACAAAGGGTCGGTCGGCCTCATCACTGGACTGCGAGACCTGATATAGTTGTTCATAAGGGGGTTGTTTGATGATAGATGGGGGCGATTGAACACATTGGATACCATTTAATAAACTTAATACTATCACTAAAAACATATAAATTGTATGCATTTTATTATGATTTGATGCAAAACTGGTTTGTGTTGTCAAATATCTGATGGCTTGTAAATATCTGTATAAGAAAGGCATTAAGAATATATTATATACAATGAAAATCACAATTTAATAATGAGATGAACATAACATAAAATGCATTTTCGAAACATGATATTAATATCCATTAAAATTCTTATACATTGTTTGTAAGGGCTGAGATGAGGATGTTTTACATCATTAATATATTGTACATAAATACAGAGAGACTGTTGGGTAGGCTTCAAACAATTGACTGAATTTAATGAATTGAATTAATGTTGAAGTGAGTGATGGATATAATCTAATCATTTGCTGTCACTATAATAATAATGCCATAAATTCTGGTGTTTGGCCTCGCATTCGAGCACAAAGGGTCGGTCGGCCTCATCACTGGACTGCGAGACCTGATATAGTTGTTCATAAGGGGGTTGTTTGATGATAGATGGGGGCGATTGAACACATTGGATACCATTTAGTAAACTTAATACTATCACTAAAAACATATAAATTGTATGCATTTTATTATGATTTGATGCAAAACTGGTTTGTGTTGTCAAATAACTGATGGCTTGTAAATATCTGTATAAGAAAGGCATTAAGAATATATTATATACAATGAAAATCACAATTTAATAATGAGATGAACATAACATAAAATGCATTTTCGAAACATAATATTAATATCCATTAAAATTCTTATACATTTGTGTTTAAGGGCTGAGATGAGGATGTTTTACATCATTAATATATTGTACATAAATATTCTCTCTGACAACCCATCCGAAGTTTGTTAACTGACTTAAATTACTTAACTTAATTACAACTTCACTCACTACCTATATTAGATTAGTAAACGACAGTGATATTATTATTACGGTATTTAAGACCACTATATGAGAGTAGAGACAGTGAGAGCGCCGATAAGAATATAGCATTAAATTCTTATAACTAAAACCAAAAACAAATAATATTTTCAAACGCTTTGAAGATAAAACAACTATTCAATTAAAGCCATGTATTAATTTAAGTTCAAAAGTAATAATACCTTTAAATAGTGGTATTGTATAGTAATTAGATTTAGATAAACAAGTTTTAGACTATAATTTCCGATTCAATTAAAGCGTCGACTCAAACGACAATGACTTTTGGCTTACAGTTAAGTAATGATAATAAAAAACGATGGGAAAGGTTTGACTCCGACTAAAACTAAACTAATATTTAAAATGCTTTTCAAAAGCCATTAGTGGGCTATAATATGACAACGATTTGCTGATTCATTAGTTAAATAATAATATAAAAGTCGATAACATTTAATATGTAAAGTATTTTTTGCAACTATAATGCAATCAAACAAAAACTAATAATCAATTTGTAATGAAATTTAAATAATGAACTGAAAACAGCATTTTGTTATTCAATTCATACGGAACTGAAAACTACTATAAGTTATATAACGATAGCGAAGAAGAAGTGAACGCAAAGTATCTATAAATATCTCTTATGACAAAAAGGATCGTTTCAAACGATTATTGCTATTACTATACGTACGGAAGCGTTTCAATTGAAATACAAGGTTAGCCATAGAGTGAAAGAGATAGACAGAGAGGGCTTAAGAGTTTTTATTTTGTAAACTTGAATGCATTAAATAAATTGTAAAAATAAAAAAAATAAATATAATATAAATAATAAAAGCAATGTTGGGGTCTATAGTACTGTTGTACACATCTCTTAGTGACAGAAATACATCGCCAGTGAAGTCATAGAAAGAGGAGATGCAAAATAAAAACACACTAAACATTGAGTTATTTTATTGCACTGTATAATGGTTTGGATGTAAAAAGCTTTTAACAATAACTACTACTTTTGATGCCTAAAGCCATTACTATTTGATGTTTGATTGGGAGGACTGGGAGGAAGTTTGCCTGAGATTAGCGTACATTTTTTGCCGTACATTCCTATCTGTATATTAGAGCACACCTGCCATAAGCCATAACAACATTACATAACATTTACAACACATACAACTGGCCCAACAAGTGATGTATTACAACACTATTACCGCTGTATTTAATACACATTACATCTACTAATAGTGTGTGGGCTATGTTTGGACACAATCACCACTTCAAACACCACACCAAACCTCCCCTTCAATCAAATCGATTCAATTTACACATTGTTTTCAATGTATTTCTCTAATTATTATTCATTTCTAGCGATGAATGCTTTTTCAAACACTTTATGCATTAAATATGCATTTAATTTAATATTCAAATGCTTTGCAAATGTTATCGTTATTAACCTTAAACTCTATAAATATCTGATTTGAATTTCAGGTCTTGTGAAAAGAGTTGTAAATGAATGCAAATATAACTCAAGAAAACAAATAAAATATGATTAAAGAGATTGAGTTTATCTCATATTATCTCTTATAATATATGATTATCTTATTCTCGATAAAGAATTACATAAAAAGTTTATCATTTCCTTAAATAATGCCATAAATTATATGTTTTTAGATCTTAAACACTAAACACTAATGAAATATTCATCAAATGCTTTAAAACTAGTATTCAAATCAATATTAATAAAACATTCAAAGCATTAGTTTTATAGCAAAAGCCTTGAATAGCTGTCTAATGGATCCGTTGATAGGATTAGATTGAAGTGAATTATTGTGTGAATTCACATACAATACATCACATGAACTTGTATATGCTATAACATGCTTAGAAGTTTATGCATGTATTGCACTTATTGGTGAATTCATTGTGTTAAACGCATTGATATCTTAAAATCAAGTAATTTGTAATTGATATTAAATAAATAAATGTTCAATTATTAAATAAATATCAATTAAAACCTATTATAAAGTCAAATTACTATGAATTCAATTCACTAAGTACAATACATGCATAATCTTCTAAGCATGTTATAGCATATACCAGTTCACATGTCCATCACATCCGAGTCAGTGACCAATCAATGGCTATAAGCCATCAACTCTTACAGCCTCTCTCTCTCTCTCTCTCTCTCTCATACATTTGATTGTGTGTTAAATCAAACTGAATGTACATCAATATTAATAAAACATTCAAAGCATTAGTTTTATAGCAAAAGCCTTGAATAGCTGTCTAATGGATCCGTTGATAGGATTAGATTGAAGTGAATTATTGTGTGAATTCACATACAATACAAGTGTACAGGTAGTGTAGGCTCAGTCACTGGTTAGTTACCGATATTCGGTAGTTGAGAATGTCGGAGAGAGAGAGAGAGAGAGAGAGAGTATGTAAACTAACACACAATTTAGTTTGACTTACATGTGTATATTAGCGTAAGTGTTGTGTCTGTTTATGAGCCACACATCGCGTGTTTGGCGACAACTCTATAGCCTATAAGACCTATCGGTTTGTCATTAAGTGAGTCGCCGATGACTCACCTGACAGTACAGTACTGTATATAACATATACTATATTAATAGCAATACATATAACGTCTAATCCTTTTATTACATCACGTAATCTAAGCGTACGTTCAATACATAGCATACACTCAATACACCTATCGGTCTAAACAACGCCCAAAAAATATCATATACTATATTAATAGCAATACATATAACGTCTAATCCTTTTATTACATCACGTAATCTAAGCGTACGTTCAATACATAGCATACACTCAATACACCTATCGGTCTAAACAACGCCCAAAAAATATAAGCAATACATATGTATGTAATCGTTATTATGGCTGTAAAACATAGGCATCCCTTTCGCCGATTATTGGCACCACTTTATGCACTCAATTGTATAACAATTGCATTACTATTCAAATAACATTTCTTATCAATGAAAACAGAGTCTAGAAATCGATAACAACACAAATGATTGATTAGTTTTGAGGCACAAAACACTTACCCATTAAAAGTCATATCAAAATAATGTTTGAATCAATTGTTTTGCGGGCAAAACAAAAATCGTCTTCAGTAGGGATGCGGTCGCCGATGAGATGATGGCATCAAAACGATGGCTATTTTAATGGTAGACACTATTGGCGTGTAATGTAATGATGGCATCAATCAAGTGATGTCCACTTCTTGTGCAATATCTGGCGAAACACATTCAACAGTGAAAGAGAGACTCACATCACTGTTAACGGCATTTTGAACGCAATGCCAGTCAACACAACAGTCAACACAAATGCCATTCAATTCAATACTAAACCCAAACACTCTTTCGTATCTGCAGTGCTCTCGCAGTCTCTCCCATAGGGCTCTCATAGGGCGCACCTCAACGCCAACACTCACTCACTGGCCATACATTACGGCACACATTAGGCCAACCCCTGCGCCCACACATGCGTTGCCTCAACCCGTATAGCATATAAGCGCCCCCTCTATAGAGTCGGGCCGTAATGTATGGCTACAGGAATCGGGAATAGGCTTTAAATTGATGCAAAACTTATAGAAAATAATTGATTTGTTATACAATTTATTGTTTAGTTTCTTATGTAATCGTTTTCAATACACTTCTCAGAAAAGGTATTTCTTTGACACTCTCTTGTGTGGACACAAACAGTGCGTTCAATGCATACAAATAGACATTATTTGTGATATAAGCGACACTTGAATGAAAAAACACGTGATTATAAGCATTGAATAACACAATCGATGAAAACGTGAAAACATTTAAATTAATAGCGAATTAATTGTCGGATTAAAAGCCAAACCGAAGCCAAACAATGAATATCCGTTGCGCTAAAGTAAGTCATATCTAAACACATATGTGATTGTGATGTATACTAATGGTGTGGATGTGTTTGTGGTGATGATAATAGCCGTCGGATCTGATGAATATGCAACACTGCAACCTCTTATGTCTGCCGGAGAACTATCAGATGAAGTACTACTTCTATCACGGCTTGTCGTGGCCTCAGCTGTCATACGTGGCGGAGGACGAGAGCGGAGCCATTGTTGGCTATGTATTGGCCAAAATGGAAGAGGACTCGGACGACGACCCTCACGGACACATCACTTCGCTGGCCGTCAAGCGGTCGCACCGACGGCTCGGTTTGGCGCAGAAACTGATGGATCAGTCGTCGCGAGCGATGATCGAGTGTTTTAACGCCAAATACGTGTCACTACATGTCCGCAAATCCAATCGCGCGGCACTTCATCTCTACGCCAATACACTTCGCTTTCAGATCAACGAAATTGAGCCCAAATATTACGCCGACGGAGAGGACGCCTACGCTATGAAACGCGATTTAGTGGACTTCGCAAAGATTAATGGACTCAAACCCGCCGACGCCAACACTTTCTGGGATTCCCATAAGTCTTCGTCCAGTAAAACAAATAAAGACAAAGAAGAGTAGTCTTTAGTCTTTCCCGAAGACATAGTTTTCGCCACTTATTTTGTAAATGACATTAAGTTTTATTTAATTTGTTTCCCAAACAATAAATCATTGATTTATTAAATTTAAAAGTGAAGCGTGACTTATTTGCAACCCATTTATAAATTATAAGTACCGGTATATGACCCGGTAATACCCGTATTTTTAAGGTATACCTCAATTATTAAATCCACTTAATTCTAGTTCTAATAGAAATTACGGTAATTTAGAAGTCGGTAAAAACAAGGAATGGAAAGCAAACACATAACACATCCCAAAATGAAAGTAACGAATATAGCGTAAGAAAGGAGACATTGGGACCGATGTGTGAAACATGAAAAATGATTAAACAGCTCAATTTGATTCATTTAAAGATAGTGATTCATACATTTTTTATATCCAAAGGTTTGCCATAATTGGAGTACAAGTAAATGAAACAATACATACAATTGTATGTTTAAATGCCAACAAAAACAAATATAGACAAATTCTTTGCACTTTTTATTTGTTAAGATTAAGATAGTAAATATATTAAGATTCTTATATTTAACTCAATTACTGATAATAAAACTTCCTGTTTCACAGCCATTGAATGCCTGACACTATGCTATTGTATGTATGAAATATATGAGTCTTATTAACAGTAATTGAATAGTGATTTAAATAATTGATAGTTAGATAATTAAAGTTGAAATTGACATAAAAGACATTTTATAAAACATTATGGATTAGCGAAGAGAATCGGTATCTTCTGAATTGCATTCACTTATATTTGAGATTCTAAATGAATACACAAGAAATTCAATTACGATATTAATATTTGTTACATTCATTGTGTGATTCACTCACATATTTGTTGATTCAATTAGCAGATCATTGGGAACCACAGGAATCGGTCGACCGGTGTTTGAATCATAAATGAATTGCATTTTAAGAAGTGCTGAACAGAATTTATGCCCCATTTCTGTCAACTCATTGATACCGAGATGCATACCATCGTAGAGGCCCTGATCACAACCCGCTTGCGAACACTCCAGAGTATAACTCGCTTTTAAACCCAATTCTCTCCAAACGGTGATTCTAGCCGTCGGTTCTCTACTCTCCTCTATATTATAGGAACAACTGTTAAGACTAAATGCCGGCGCCATTGACTCCAATAGCAATGGAAACGCCAAATGACTGCTATCTTCGGAAGGTTTGTTTCTATCACTTCTTTTCCATGACATCGACGGACAACAGCCGTAAACGAAGATATTCTTCCTGCGAGAGTGTCCGTGAAAGTCGACTAAAATGACTGGATTTGTATTATTCGATACGTGACTCAAATATCTTATCAAAGATTTCATGTGATATACTGTCGGATGGAGGAGAGGGTCGGGTCGACGCCACTGTCGATTCAGGTCTTCTCCCTGCGCTCCCGTCCGCGAGCTTAACAAATGGATACAATTTTGTTACAGTTTTGCAATCAAAAGCACGTTTCGTCAGTCAACTCACTTTCCATTGATAACTCCGTCCGGATTAGACATCGGAACTATTTTGAAGACATAGTTGTCGAGCAACTTGTGGGCCGACATCTTATCGCTTAATAAGAAATCAATACATCCCTTCAGAATCCACGAGGCATTCGTTTCGGACGGATGGACGCGACCTAATAATACCACATATTGACGGCCAGTCTCTTTACGCGGCGGTTTAGAGCTGGTTATAGTGAGCACCGGTACCTCATTGCCGGCCAATGATGTGCACAGAGTTTGGTGTCGGAAATATGTATTACACGAATTGTGACAGTTTTGCCAAAAGTGAATACAACTCTTCAAATATGTATAACTGTGCGGATAATTAAACGCTAGAAAGCAGTCGTCGTTTTCAAATGGAAATACTATATTAAAAGTTAAAGTGTAATAAGTTTTGCCGTTCATTAGACTGTCGATTGAGTCTTCTTTGAGATAATGGTTGCGATAGTAAGCGATTGAATGTCCGACTCGTTTCCAAAACGGTTTATCACAGATAAGGGATTCTTTGGTCGAAAACATGACAGGCCTCTGACCCTCATTGAAAAGACTGCTTTGCTTTTCGCAATTAATTATATTAAATACATATTCTGTGTCTGCATTCATATTAGACACTTTGAAATAAAACCACTGGACATGAGAACTGGTGTTAATGTCTGTGTTTAACAAAAGTGTGTATTCATTGGACAATAAATCGTTTTGCAATACTTTTCTCAAGTTTCCGCTTTCGAATCGAGACTCAAATTGAAGTTTATTTTTATGCAAAGTTTTTGCCCCGTTTTCGACATCAAAGACGACAAACCATTCTTTAGTTTTCCTGTCATTTCTTTGAGTGATGTGTTGCATGAGTTTAGTTCTGGCCGTTTCCCACGAACCCTCCGATTCGTTCATAACCATTGCCTCCAACTTATTGTTTCCTAAGTTTGCGGCCAATTCTGGTTCCGCTAAAGTGACAATCGGCTGAATACTTATGGTTTTTGCCGACATTTGTGTATAGACTTGACGCCAGTCCGCGCTCTCCATGAAAATATCCTTTCGTTTGTCTTCTTTAGCACTTTTTAACATCTCTTGTATTGCATTCATATCTACTTTATTGTCCTTACGATCGTCAGAATCAAGTAATTCTGTTTCATCGATAGATTTGTTGTTATCGTTGTTTTGAGAGTTTAAAAAACATCCACAAAATAAACTTTTGATGTTTTCAATACTTCTCTTTCTTTCTTTGTTCACTTTTGGCTCATTAATTGTGTTATTCTTTTGCCTAAACTCTGGATTCAATTCAAAATCTTTAAATTCTGGGAAATACTGTTCATATGAGATAATATCACTTTCGGATGAAACCGATTGACTATCAAACTGTTCATTAGATTCATTGTCGGAATCGCTTTGTTCTGAAGATTCATAGGTCTCGTCGACATTGCATTCATTTCCGTTTAAAGTTCCGACAAATTCTGGTTTATAACTGGACTCTCCATTCAATGGTATATCAAATGTGTTTGGATTAAAATGCGAATCCAGTGGTAGTGGCAACGGATCCATTAATCTCTGTACTACAAGACTAGATAATCGGAATACTCTATTCAAGTGTCCCATCTTTTTTGTTTGGATCTTATTGTCGATAAAACTTTGCATAAAAGCTAAGATCTTTTTGTCAATTAATGAATGCAACAAATGATCTCTTCCGGCCCTAACATAAGACAGGTGTAGATAAACTGTCAAAACACTATAAGAATATCGCAGAGTTTTAAGAATATTCTTGTCATTCGTCTCGAAAGTACTCATAAGACGAATGCATTCATCAAAAAGTGTGGACAAAGTCTTCATATATTGTGCGGGACTTTTAAGAATATCACAAATTCCTTCCTCTGAAATCAAAACAGAGTTTTGTATAAGAAATACAATTTAAGTGAATATTAGATGAATAGTAAATATATTAAAATAACAATCCAAAGACTCACTGCAACGACAAACTAATGCTAACACTTCGATGGCATGTGTGGACGTGGAAGACATGTTTTTATGAATTGTGAGAATGATATCAATTATATTCACTAATCCATTGTCTGAATGCATCTCTAAAGACAAGATATCATTGGTGTTTGGAGTGCAAAGAATGGGCGCACATAAGGCTCTCATCTGAGCTAAGAATTGGTAATAAATATGGAAATAAATGCTAAAATCCATTAGAAATGACACTAAAATACTTACAATTTTTTAGGAAATTCTTTAAATAGCATAGAATTGCCGAAACAATCTTATATTTATGTTTCCAGTGCTTTAAAGTATACAAACTTTTAGTTAACGATGACTTATGTTTTGCGTGAATTTTTTGCACAAATTTTTTATCTGAAATTTATTTATTTTGTTAATACATTTGAAACTCAAATAAAAAGTGATATATTTATCGATATGCAAAATGATGGAAACGACTTACGATGAGATAGTTTTGTCAAAACGATATAAAATGTTTCAATAATGGGTTCGCTTCCAAGAATACTATCCTCCAGAAGAAGTAAATTGTCGATCAACTGATCGTCACATATGATCAGAAAAGCCTTTTCCTTGCGGTTTGCATTGGGTTGAGAACTCAGAATCGATTTAACGATTAATAGGCAGTTGTGTTGAATATTCAAACCATTCATATTCTCAGTCTTTGAGGAGTTTTATATAAATAGTTAGCAAAAAATGAAAAGAAAATTTTTAGTCAAATAATGCATTCGTAAACTAAAAGAAATCGGATATTAATGACACACATCTGTAAATAATATATGGGAAAAACATTTACCAAAAATAACTTTCGATCAAATCTGATATAAAATTCTTAAGTGAAAGTAAAAAATAAAATTAAAAATATTTAACTTTTTTAAATCTGGAAAAAATCCAAACCATTGCTGATTGGAAAGAGAAATATTACAAATGCTAAACAGTTATATAAATGTTTTAAAACTACTGTTTCTGTGACTAAAAAGACTTTTTTCTTATTGAATATAAAAACTAAGGAATTCGACATAATTTAGAGCTCGACTGAAAGTGTTGGCAACAAATGATTATAATTATAACATATTATTGGCTCTGTTTTATAAATACCTGAATCAAAGTCTTCAGGACTGACATCACATTCTTTATATCAAAGTCGAGAATTTGGTTTAATTTGCCTGAAATCAAACAGTTATACAATACATCTGTATTTGAAAATGAAAAAACAAATATATCCTAACAACAAGTTATAAACAGACAGAGAAAGAGAGGGGAGAAATTGTTTAATCTTACCCTCAATATTAGGATCATTTAAAAAGTCAATGAGTTTTGGTTGACATTCAGTGACAGGAATTTTATTATCAATTTTGTGATCGCATTCAACATCACTGTTAGTTTGCAACTGCATTGCATTCGTGTTAGTCTCGTAGCTATTCATTGAATACCATTAGATCTTAATTCACAATAAATGCAATCAATATTAATGAAAATTGAAAATTTAAATTTTAGGAAAATCTTCAATGTTTTAAGTTTTATAACAAAAGATGAATAAATTAAAAACAATTTATCAAATAATTAACTCTTTGACAGTGAAGTGAGTCTGAGTAACAAAAACAAGAATATTCTGCAAACAATATTCCACACTATTTGGCACTGAATTCAAAAAATTTGTTTTCTTTATGGCAAAAAAACTTAATTAAATTATTATTTAATGGTTTTTTAAATATTAAAAATTTATAAACTAATGATAAGCTCGTGATATATTAAGTTACAATCACTTTTCATATTCACAGTAACTGAAAATTGTTGAAACCAATAGTGGAACATAACTTTAACTCGTGTAAAAATAGCTTAACTTAACAATGTTTAGTTTAATAGACAATTAAATACAATAATATACGAATTGTTATAAAACGTTACAAAAAATAATAAAACAAAATATAACATTAGTTTTCAGAAGACTATAAACATAATTAAAGTCTTATATAATGTTCAAAAAATGTTGACTCGAATAGAGTTTAGTCTGAAATGAAAGAGTCTTTTGAAATGATGTGCAGAGAAAGGGAAGAGAAGTTATGTTTTGTGAAAATGTGTATAAATTTAATTTTAAAATTAGAGCCAATGAGTGAATAAATGGCTGAGACTTTATATAAGAGTTATAATATACATGAAATCTTTGATAAGATATTTGAGTCACGTATCGAATAATACAAATCCAGTCATTTTAGTCGACTTTCACGGACACTCTCGCAGGAAGAATATCTTCGTTTACGGCTGTTGTCCGTCGATGTCGTGGAAAAGAAGTGATAGAAACAAACCCTCCGAAGATAGCAGTCATTTGGCGTTTCCATTGCTATTGGAGTCAATGGCGCCGGCATTTAGTCTTAACAGTTGTTCCTATAATATAGAGGAGAGTAGAGAACCGACGGCCAGAATCACCGTTTGGAGAGAATTGGGTTTAAAAGCGAGTTATACTCTGGAGTGTTCGCAAGCGGGCTGTGATCAGGGCCTCTACGATGGTATGCATCTCGGAATCAATGAGTTGACAGAAATGGGGCATAAATTCTGTTCAGCACTTCTTAAAATGCAATTCATTTATGATTCAAACACCGGTCGACCGATTCCTGTGGTTCCCAATGATCTGTTAATTGAATCAACAAATATGTGAGTGAATCGCACAATGAATTTAACAAATATTAATATCGTAATTGAATTTCTTATTGTGTATTCATTTAGAATCTCAAATATAAGTGAATGCAATTCAGAAGATACCGATTCTCTTCGCTAATCCATAATGTTTTATAAAATGTCTTTTATGTCAATTTCAACCTTAATTATCTAACTATCAATTATTTAAACCACTATTCAATTACTGTTAATAAGACTCATATATTTCATACATACAATAGCATAATGTCAAGCATTTATTCATTCAATGGCTGTGAAACAGGAAGTTTTATTATCAGTAATTGAGTTAAATATAAGAATCTTAATATATTTACTATCTTAATCTTAACAAATAAAAAGTGCAAAGAATTTGTCTATATTTGTTTTTGTTTGCATTTTATACATACAATTGCATGTATTGTTTCATTTACTTGTACTCCAATTATGGCAAACCTTTGGATCTAAAAAATGTAATGTATGTCTCTTTAAATGAATCAATTTAGCTGTTTAATCATTTTTCATGTTTCACACATCGGTCCCAATGTCTCCTTTCCTACGCTATATTCGTTACTTTCATTTTGGGAAGTGTTATACTTTTTAACTGTTCCCACTTTTAAATTACCGTAACATTTATTAAAACTAGAATTAAGTGGATTTAATAATTGAGGTATACCTTAAAAATACGGGTATTACAGTACCGGTCTTTCACCGGTACTTATAAATTATAAATGGGTTACAAATAAGCGACGCTTTACTTTTAAATTTAATAAATCAATGATTTATTGTTTGGGAAACAAATTAAATAAAACTTAATGTCATTTACAAAATAAGTGGCGAAAACTATGTCTTCGGGAAAGACTAAAGACTACTCTTCTTTGTC